AAAAAATGGTCATTTTAGAAGAAAATTTCAAATGGCATTTAGAGGCTTTTGCATCCGAACTCTTCATATATATATATATATATATATATATGAAGAGTTCAGATGCAAAAGCCTCTAAATGCCATTTGAAATTTTCTTCCTTAATGATGATTTTTATCAAACTTGTATATTTAAGTTCAGTGATTTAACTTAAATGGCAATGATAATTACCTATTAATTGTTATTTAAGTGAAATTACTGAACTTAAATATACAAGTTTGATAAAAATCATCATTAAGGAAGAAAATTTCAAATGGCATTTAGAGGCTTTTGCATCTGAACTCTTCATATATATATATATATATATAAATGCAGTAGTGAGTTAGCCAATGACTTGGGAAGAAAGAAATATCTTTGGATCCACTGTTTATGAAACAGATAATAAACAAATAATAAGAAACAACATTGATAAGTTGAATTCAGTTATTTGCCTTCTTTTGTATTTTGGAAGTGAGATGGCCATATGTTTCATGGGTTTAATCTGATTGCTTACTCAGTGTGGTGGGACGGAGGAGATCATGTTCCAATGTGAACTCCTGGGTCAACATGGACCAAGTCCATTAAAGGGAAGCATGGTTCAGTGAAAGTTCACTCTTATTTTCTTTTCGCCATGAATGCAAAACAAAATGAGAATTCCAACATTTGTTACAAATTTGCCACTTTTTGGCCTTGGGCAAATGCAGTCTATAAAAGATCCTAAGTTTGGATTCAGAATCTGTTATTAACTATAGGCTATATGAGCAATAAAGAGAGATTGCTGGGTGATTATTTGGTTGTTGTGCTGAAAGGTTAATGAAATATAGCAGAACTCACTCACATATACTGCATACATGTACAGGTATATACACATTATCCATGCCACAAAATACTCGGATGCTCTCAAAACTAAAACTGTTTAGTTGAAGTGCTTATTAGACCATTTAAACCTTTTTTTCCCCACATCCTTTGAGGCTAGATGGTCAAATCCTAAATACCCCACCTCCCATAATTTGCACCCTGGTTGTAACCCCCTTCATTAATAACTGGTTGGCTGTGTCTGCATTGCATTTTGCAGCTAATTTCAAATGTTTACCTTCTGAGTAATACAAACCACTCAGCTTTATCTAATAAATGAATGCAAGCAAACATTGCGTTTTCCCTCTAGGGGTGAAAATCTTGTTTATTTGAATTTGTCAGCGTCGCGCTCAGCAAAACGTCACGGATAGCCTTGCTTGTACCATTGTGTGGAAAAATGTCCTCAAAAAATGAAAAGGAAAAAGGATGTAACTAAGTTTGGTAGTGGTGACATCCAGTAGTGGAGTGCACAGGGCATATCTCAGACACAAGTGGATCTCATGAACCATTGTTGTGCTCTAATAGCCTACTTTTGAGGACTTTTTGTGCTGGGCTATTTAAGGACTCAACATCCAGCACATGACAAATTGTACTTGTTCTTTTATGAAGGTCCAGCTCTTGTTCTCCCTCCGTCCTCAGTGGCCCCATAATCGCTGTTTACAGAAGCGACAAACAGCAGAGAATGCTCATGCATATCTCAGCTAAATGACTGCAGTGTCCTCTTGAACATATGAGCACAGGCCGTGCTGTTTTAAGTGAAAACCTTCCGCGCTGTCGCATGATGGGGATTTCAGTTTCAAACACTTGATGTGATTCAGTTTTGTTTCCAACTTGTTTTTCAAAATGCTATCTGGTGTCATAAATTAAATATCAATTGACCAAACACAAACCACACACACACTCTGTGTTTTATGGGGACTTTCCATTGACACAATGATTTTTATACTGTGAAAACAGTATATTCTATCCTCTAACACTGAACCTACTCCTAAACATTCCCATCACAGAAAACATTCTGGATTTTTACGTTTTCAAAAAACATCACTTAGTATGATTTATACGCTGTTTTCTTCATGGGGACCAAAACATTTCCCCTCAAGTATAAGGATTTCAGATATTGCCATCTTTGTGTGGGTATTTTCTCCCCATAATGGTTATTACAGGCCAAACACACACACACACATAAGGAATCAAAAAGCAGCACAAAATAACGATGGTTAATAACAACAACAAAAATGCTGTATGGCCTGTATCTCTTAAAGCTATAGTTCACCCAAAAATGAAAATGGCTTTAGGCATTCTACTACTATAAGTAATTTTTCAACTACATGCCAACCGACTTTCTATACGCTCTTATCTGCTAACAATTTATTTTAATGGTCCCCCAACAGACACAACTGACTATAAGTAAATGTATTGTCATTTTGTATTGTCATTATCATGTCAAACAAAGTGTAACCAAAAACTGTCATCATTTACTCAAGCTCCTGACAAAATTTTAAAGAATATACTTTTCCATACAACTGTAATGAATGGGGACTGGAGCTCAAAAGGAGCTTCAAAATGAGACAAGGCTCAATAAAAGGAATATAAAGTATCCTATACGGCTCACAGTTCTGTAAGTGAACGAAAAAAAAATATATATATATTATTCAATGTCCTGAAGAACTGGATCAGTCTGATTCATGAACGAACCATTCAGACCGCTTTTGTCAACTGGTTGAATCAGTTCAGTGAAAATGATTTGTTCATGAATTGGATGCTGCAGTCTGTTCCTCACATAATGGTATTGTGTGGCTTCAAAAAAAAAAATAGAGTACTGTGAATTTTACGACTTTTATGCTGCTTTTTGCAATGTATTAAACCTTTTTGTTCAGCAAAAGAAAGAAATGACATGAACTGTCCTGTTAAATATTTATTGTTAAGTTAAAATATTGCTGCTACATCCTATAAAAAAGCCACTGTTCTCCTCTTCGACTCTATACTACCTTTTTCAGATATGGTGTAAACACTCCGTGAGCAGATCCCACCACAGCCCGCAGGTTAAACGTCTGCTTTGTTCACAATCCCCTGCTCTTCCTGGAGCTAAAGTTGATGTGACATTTTGTCCATTTTTTTGTCCAAGTTTTTTCTGCTTTTGGCATTGTTGAGTGTGGAGGGAAGAAGGCTTTTACCATCAGATGCTGTCTGTTGAGGTCTTTCATAAATAATTAAGCTCAGTACATTGAAAGTGATGACAGCAAAACTGTCATGCGATCTCCCACATAAGATCAAAGAAGTGTTTCTATAGGACAAGAAATTCCATTTTAGGGCATTCTCTGGGTCGGCCATGTGATTGTTTGTTGCCGGGGTCTTTTTAGCTCTCTTGTGACAAGTGCTATATATTTGAAGTGATAGTCTTGATACACTGAAGGGACAATGCAAAGATGAATTTAAAAGATTCCTAAAGATGAACCTAAGATAAGTGTGAAATCCCTACTGGAACATTTATATGAGGTATGAAGTAGATGATGTCTCTATTTCCGTTGCATGATGCGATGTGGAAATGATTCTGTCACATCTGAACAGGCTGATATGGTTCAAACTCCTTACAGTGTGAATGGCCCCAGGCCTGACTATATCCAGTGATGCTCTTTCTCATGGCTAAAACTCTGAGCAGTTTATGGCCTCTTTTGTTTTTAGTGTGCAAAGTGAAGAATTTCCGTTTCAATTTCATGCCTGTCAGGGATAAAACATGATAAAACGCAATGAAATGCAGCTCATCTGCTCAGTCTGTAAATGGACTAAACTGATGCACATGACAGAATTTGGTGGTACATGAATAAGTGAGTTTTTTGGCCTTGGGTTGTAGTCAACTCTTCTGCTTTTTTTTTTTTTTTTTTGGCCATGAAAATGAGGCCCTGTTTAGTCACTGGAAAAGCAGAGAACGAATCCTTGAGTTAATGAAGGTCTCTTTCAATCATGTTCTGATATGCCATTGTAACGCAAGTGCTGTGAAAATGAGCTTTTTTCTTTGGTAACAACCAAAAGCAGGAGCATTTGTTTGTTTGTTTGTTTATTAGCAATTTTAATTGTTAACATGGCGGCACGTAAAGATTGGTTAGTTGGTTGCTTGCTTCTTACAGTGTTTTGGTTTAATGATGAACATGAATGAAGGGTCTTGTGCATCAGGATGTGTAGTTGTCATTGAAACAATGCTACATATATCAGTTGACCAACTCATCATATTTTTAATGCTTTTGGTATGTAGTATGTAGTTTGGTATAGGTAAAGTCTTGAGAAATATTCCCATTGGCTGAAGCGCCCTTAGTAACAACCACAATTTTATTAGGGATGCTCTCTGTAAAGAAATATATCTGTGAGATTACGCAAGCTACTTTTTTGTTATTGCTGAAATTAACGTTGTAATGTGTGAAAAATGTCTGACAATCAGCACGGAGGGTCGCTTTTTTTCCCTCCGTCGGATTTGGCAATTGTTGCGTCATTAATCATTGTGTGATCTTGGTCACTCATTTCAAGTAATAAAAGTTTCAATCATAAACGCACAACAGGTCTGAATCACTCAGTCACACCAGCTTCCAGCTACGACTCCTATTAAATCAAGCAAGCAGAACGTTTCCTAAGGCAGCCTTTTTCTTTTTCATTTCCGAAAGAACCGTAGAATATCATTCATTACTAGAACTACACATATTTAGTTTTTAAAAGTCTCATAAATCAATAGTGGCCTGACTGCAATAATTATAACAAGTTAACATGTAATTTCCAGGCCGAAAGCCGCATGGCCAGATTTTAGCATATGCAAACGAGGTAATTCAAATAGTGTAGGGATATTAATACAGAAGGGCAGGTAACGAGGTGCGGGTCATGAATTATGCATCAAAAAGTGGTTGATCTTCAATAAAGGAAATGAATTCACTGTGTAATCTAATTAGTTATGGAAGTCTATTATGTCGAGCAGCAAAAAGCAACTGTCCTTGAAAAGGAATTTATTTACAGTACATGTTAGCTCTTCGGGATGGAATTGCGTTCTGGTCCGAATGTTAACGGCAACCTCTGTCCCTCACCCCTCCCCTTCTCTCTCCACTTCCCTCTACCTCCCCCTTTCCGCCACTTCACTTCTGTTTTAGCTCAAGACCCGGGAGGCCTCCGAAACGGACCCAGAGTGTGACATCGCCGGAGAACCCTCACATCATGCCGCACTCTGTGCCAGGCCTCATGTCGCCGGGAATCATTCCCCCCACAGGTAACTCACGCAGACCTCCTACCACGCCCCGGCCCGTTCTCGTAGCGACCCGCTGCACATCCGTTAAATGGCACACTGCAAAATCTGACAGCCCTCACCCAAACTACCAGCCAGAACCATTGACCGTGCCTGCCGACCCCTCTCCCTTCCCAGCAAGTCCTCCCTGAACCCCCCCACCCCCTTTGTGCAATCAGAGCTCCTGAATAAATTGGAGTGGAGAGTTGTTCTCTTCCAGATTATTATAGTAGATGTTGCATTCTGCCTTGAGTGGATTTTAATTAGCCCGATTAAATCCACTTCACTGCTAAATGTACATATAGGCCGTCGTGATGTTAAAGTAAGCTTATCGCCACAAGAATCAACAACAACCGTTTGTGCTTTCAGTTGGCCTGGAGCAACTCTTATGCTTTTGTTCTATTTATGGCTGGTTTTCATTGTAGCTGCTTTGAAGTCACTCACAAGAAAGGGCCCTGATTTACATATCGTGCTCTCGGTTGTCCTGCCATCTTTTAATAACACACACTCATTCGGTTATGGTTCACTCCTTGAGCTCAGCAAAACTGGACAGTTGAAGACTGGAAAATGTGTTGCCTGGACTGATGAGTCTCGATTTCTGTTGAGACATTCAGATGGTAGAGTCAGAATTTGGCGTAAACAGAATGAGAACATGGATCCATCATGCCTTGTTACCACTGTGCAGGCAGTTCTGCTAAGGCAGTTCTAAAGGCGAAAGGCGGTCAAACACAGTATCAGTATGGTGTTCCTAATAATCCTTTAGGTGAGTGTATTTTATTATATTATAATATATATATATATATATATATATATATATATATATATATATATTATTTCAGCACCTTGTTTGTTAGATCTGTTTTTCTATTTTTCAAGCATTCCCAGTTTCCCACTTGTAAATATGACTTTCATGTGCTTTTAGTTATGAAATATCCAACTTTACATGATGGCACATATATGAAAGTGATATATATTTTAATGAATTGTTAAGAAATACATTTAAATTATATTTATTCTGTATTTTAATTTTAATTTACCAATATATTTTGTGAATTTGGCCGCCACTCTTTTGAAACATCTCAAAAACACAATACTTTTATTTTATTATTATTTTTTTTTAATTTATAAATTTCAGCTTATACAGTAGCTCAAATTATAGAGCAATAGCGCTATAATCACCAATGTCATGGGTCTAGTTTACAGGGAATGCATTAAACATGTAACTTGAATGGAGTGTTGCTTTGAATAAAAGTTTCTGTCAAATGCTTAAAATATAAAGGTAAATACTTGAATCGAACGAGGCACTAATCTAAAATAGTTTATGCACAAACCTAATTTATTTCCTGTATTTTATTTCATTTGCAATCTGATATGCAATCTGATATTTCTGAGGAGGGAACTATTGAAATTTCAGCTTGGCAAAAGAACTGGTCAACTTGAATAATGCCACTGTAGCATTAGAACATTCTGCTTGGGAAACTGCATCCAACTGTCCCTTTACAGTGTCCCTAGGCAGTTTTGAAAGTATGGAATTTGATTTGAAGAATAGACCTAAAGTAGATCTAATGCCTTGAAATATGAAAAGCTAAATTTTGAACACTTTTTTTTTTTTAAACAATATCAGTCTTTTTTATAGACCCTTGAACTTGGAAAATGCCATCAACCCATTTTGCGTCATGGTTTCTCTACAGAGGATGCGTTAAATTGGACATTGCCTTGAGATGGCAGTGACCATAGACTGTAAAAAATGGCTGTGATGAACAAAATAAATGGTTATAGTATATATAAAACAAAAATTGAAATGTGTAAACATGTAAAAAGTAACACGTATGCATATGAATCGTTTCTCGAGGGGCACAAAACAAGTTTCTCGTGTGCATGTAAAAATCTGTATATTTTATTATTTTTTATATTTTTCTATTAGTGGCTCTGTATGTTGTCACTTCGAAAAAATCAATGAAAAATAAAAATATTTACAATTGACTACTATAAACCTAAGCTGATAAAGCTGAACAAAATGCTGTATGAACCATTTATGTTAAATATGGCCTGAAAATCTACAGAGAAGTTTGAAAGTGTGAGTCTGAAGTATGGAATTTTGAAATGGAAAATGTGTAGGAACACCCTGCCTTTATGTTTGAGTGAGGTCAGCCTATCAGTGTTTTGTTTAGAAACATGAACTTAAAGGCCAGTGGGAGAGCCCAGGATGAGAGTCTTCTCTTATTAAGTCCCGAGAAACCATGACAAAAACCCTTTGATATCCAGGCCTTTAAACCATGAGAGAGGCTCTGATCTTGACATTTTGGTTGAAACATCTGAAGAAAGTAACATTTTATACAATCAAGTTTGTAAGGTTCTTCGGTTGTTTGATGAAGCGGCATACAATGAGTAGATCCAATGAGAGTTGCTTCTGTTCGGCTCTTGGATCCCAGATATCTTGACCAGCACCAGGATTGGGAGAGCAAATGTAGACAACAACTCAATACAGCATGAAGTGGTGGTTGTATCGTTGTTGATGTAACTTCATCATAAAAGAGTATATTTTTAATATTGGCAAATGTTCAGGGCCTTTGTGCACAATGCTCTTAATGCAGCACTTGAGATGTTTTCCTTCCAGTTGCATGTCATTTAGCACCACAGTTACACTGCGAGAATGGAGCCATTTTTATCTCACTGTTGGTCTCAGATTACAGTTATATTGACCAGAAATTACTCACCAGAAATATGAAATCTTACAAGTCATTTGACAGAAATAAGAACCATGAAATGGAGTTCTAATATGACATCATTTACATATACCATTCAAAAGTCTGTGGTCAGTAAGACTGTTTTAAAAAGATCTTAATACATTCAGCAAGATTGTAATCTACTGATCGAAAGTGACAGTAAAACATTCATAATGCACCAAAATGTTTCTATTTCAAATAAATGTTGTTATTTTAACATTTATTATCATCCTGGAATTTTTTACCACAGAAATATTCTTGAAAAGAAAGTCATTATTAGAATGATTTCTGATAGATCATGTGACACTACCTGGAGATATTATGCTAAAAATTCAGCTTTGCCAGTAAAATCCATTTTAAAATATATTCAAATAGAAAACATATACATATTTGTGTATACAGTGTTATATATACTGAAAACACACTGTCTAATGTAACAGTGAACAGTGTTTTACAGCTATTCAGGTAATGGCGTCAGAGTATCGTTCCATCAGTCTGTCATTATGGACACAATCAACTAGAAATGGGAGAATAGACACAAAAAGAGGTTAATGAAACATGAGGCCTTCACGCCGATGCAAGATTACACTGTCATAAACAGATCAGTCAACTCTAATGTGACTCTCCTCAACCGAGTGTCGGCAGTTTATAATTGATGTGCTGTATTTGGCTCTAATGCAGACAGAACAATTCAGATGCATTCATTCACCCAGTCCTCATTGGCACAACCTCCGCTTTGTGTGTGCGCGATCGGTCCTCAATAGTCACTGAAACGGAGCTCGTTTCTGCAAATATACTGAGTCACATTTAGCCTTGATCTCTATTAGGAGCGCGCAACATTGAGTCAGTAGATAAGCACTTTCTTATCATAAGACTGGCTAAGTCACTCTTTGTGTACTGATGTGAAGTTAATCTGATCTTAATTTAATTACACTATTAGTGGAAGGAGGCACATACATTTCTTATTTGTTGTAAGAATGTTCTGACATTGAGCAGGTATGGGGCAGCCCGCATGTTAATTAATAATGAACATTCTGACAATATTCAGAGGCATGACAGCGTTAAGCCAGTCTGCTGCTGGTTCCTTTGCATATTAATAGATCCTTCATTATTATTTAATATGACAGCTGCTCCAAGGGCTACGATCAGACCCCATCTCTATTATTTGCTGTTTTGTGCGCAGTATGACAGTACCAAGTGATTCTTTATTTGTCTCCTCCCCACGCCCCCGTCTTGCGCCCGTCTGCCCGCTCGTTCTCTTTGATGCTCGGCTGTTAATATGTGGCTGAAGAGATCCTTGTGTCTGTGAAAAAAACAGACATGTGGGTCTGAATCTAAAGGTGACTTTCAAAAGTCGAAACATTGCGATCTGCTATTGGTGCTTGGCATACTAATGAATGCTAATTGAAGGAGGAGTGGGTTGCTCGTTGTGATGCTCAGACGTGCACGGGCCCTATACGAGTGGACTTGTTGCTGATGTGAAGAAGAGTTTGTGGATGGGTACTCTGATGTTGATGTCAGTCAAACCCTCTTGTAGCCTATGATGGATGTTGCTTGCGATCTAATGAACTAAACTATCTCTCTGGAACAATAGTGAATGATAATGCAGAAGAGGACCAATACACGTAACTGTTGCTCATGCATGCTTGTAGGTGTAGCAGTGGCTCTCAACTGGTTTTTGACTGCTTCAGATTTTACATTGTACGTCAAGTAGTGGCTCAGTGAAGTACCAGAATGGTTTAAAAATTAAATTGTATTTATTTATTTCCATATCAATCTATTTCACAGTTGTTATCTAATTATATATTTTCTCCAAAACATGGTTGGCTCAAACCATGTTTGTCCTTGCTGCGAGTAAACCAATAGTTAATGTGGGCCGTGTTTCATCTAATTTCTGCTTGTATGGTTTTGTTGATTTTTTTTTTTTTTTAAGATTGATTCATTTTATTATTATTACTATTATTATTAATTTATTCATTTTTGACTGATACAATCAATTTGTCCTAAATTTTGAAGTTTAATTGGTCTTTCCACAGAATTTGAAAAAACGATTTATTTTGCTATCATAACTACTGTTTCGTAGAAACATATGTTTATTTTCCTTGCAGTCGTTGACTTTACCATTTTTGGGTCACAATCCACCAGCTGGGAGCCGCTGTGTTTAGCTGTTTATTGATAACATCCATACCTGCAGGACATTACGCATCACCATGTCCATTTTAGTTGATCAATGAATATGATGGATGTTTAATGCATTATTGAAGCGCTTGCTTAATTGTTGGAAGTTAAAATTCTGGTCCCCGACTTTTCACACAAGCAACCGGAAGGTGATTTTCTTCTTTTTCTCTTCTATGCTTACATCTCATTTAGAAAACAGTTGACTCTCTCCCATTAGACGCAAATGAAGATTGACCTTCGGTGCGACTGGAGGCCATATTTATTATGAGTGGAGGGGGGGAGTAGATCCCCTCTGCTGCTGCAAGGCATGAATATACAACAGCAAACGAGAGCGGCCACTCCGACACAATGTATACGATACATCAATATGGTACTGATGTACTTTAAAATGCAAACAAGCCCAGGAAAGCCGGTGGCATGCAGTGTTGTCCACACCATCTGCTTGTCTGCTGCTGGGGAGGCAAGGTGGCGTATTAAAGCCACATGTTCGATATCTTTCTTTTTCCCGTTCTCTTCGCGCTCAGGAAAAGAGACAGTGGCCAAATGGCCGCAGTCGAGTCATGTCAGTGAAAGTGACACTTTAGTGATGATGAATTTGCCAATTGGCTTCCCTCACATGGGGAAAAACAAAAGCCAAACTATGAGCGTATCACTTAGTGGTACATAAGAGGATTTGGAGATTTTAAGGGCTGTTATCTTGGAAGAATTTTAAATACTGACTGCATCTTTTTAATAAGTTTGCTAAAAAGCGACATATTATATCTGTCAATTTAGCGACAAATGACAGGCTTATGTGTAATGATATGGGAAGAAAACATACAACAGTTGACTCGGTATTGCCTATTCAGTGTTTTATTTATCTTCCACCTATAATGTTGAGGATATTTTTTGGGGGTTATTTTCTTCCACATTAATATGCAAGTAGTTAATTGGCATATCTTGAAATTAATTGTACTCATTTTAAATGAATTAAGTGGATAATAATCATTAAATATGCAGGATACAGATCTGTTTAAATGATGCATTAAAACAGGAAAAAAAAAAATCACAATATTTAATATTGTTTGGTAGTGACATGACGTTGCTCAGCCCCTATCCCAGAATCCACTTTGCCTCATAAATGAGGTTATTGTACTGTAACCATTTTCAATACACTGTACGTATAAAATGAGACTGCGTTCACAGGATTCACTGAACACTGGATGAATCAAAGCTGAGCCTTTTTTTCCAGCATTCACATCGTTTCATTAATCTTCATTCATGGATTCAAGGTCTCTTTCAAGGATCCTCCTTTTACTTTCTGCGAGTCTTTCAGGTGTTTTGTCATTGAAAAAGAGTAAATGACAGCGAGTCAGTTCTTTATCCAATCTCTCCATCTCCACTGTGCTCCTTTTAAACAAATCAAACAATGGGGAAAAAAAATGTAATACTGCCAGTGGAGCCAAAAGACTTTGAATTGCAGCGTTCCTGTTCATTCAGAGGGAATGACAATGGATTTGCCGTTTAATGTTCTTGTGTTTGAGATGTTACAGACATTTATTTATGTATTTGTGCATATTTGAGCCCGTCTTCTTCGGTTTCCCACTGTTACAGAGTGTTTGTTTTCACTTTGTCGTACATCCCCACCCGTTTATTTACAAACAGAAACCATGGCAACATGTCAGTCCTGATATGTTCTCCTGACTCCATCTGTCACCATCAAAGCTCAACGGCGTCATCTTTGCATTTAGAGAGAAAAAGAGATGGAAATAAGAGAAGACGTACATGACAGTGAGGCTTCCAGCTGAAAATGTTGCATCAGTCCTATAGGGCCAGCTGTGTAATCAAAAACAGCAAAGCTACTGTCGGTGATGGGATGCAAATGATCTGCTCTAGTTAAGATGCGGTGCTAGACTGAGTTAGGCTAGTGATGGGAGAAAAGACCGTCAAACTGTTATAGAGCAAAAAGCAGTTTTTCCCTCTTCTTTCTGAGGTAAAGCACTACTCAAAGTAATGTGTGATTTTAATAACATGAGTGTAAAATTGTTCTTTTGCCTTATTACATGTATTGATATTGGATATTTAATTATGCATGTTTATTTCCTCTATTTTTTACATTTAGATTACCTTTGCGGTCATTTGATGCTCACTAAAGGTAATATTTAAACACAATAGGATACATTTATGATGTTATATTTAGCAAATCTCAAAATGAATATCGATTTTTATTTTCTTTTATTTTTATATTTATTTTTTTTAGACACAATATTATAATACAGTACAGCCAAACATTTGGGGTCAGTATAATTTTTCTTCACAACTTTTATTCAGAAAAATACAGTGAAAACAGTGATTTTGTGAAATATTGTTACAATTTGGAATAACTTTTCAGACACGTAAATATAAATGTAATTATATTTTATGTTTTCAGCAGCCATTATTCCAGTCTTTAGTGTCACATGATCCTTCAGGAATCATTCTAATATGCTGATTTTGTGCTCAATAAACATGTTAAAAAACAGTTGGGATTTTTTTTTTTTTTTTTTTTTTTTGGTGGAAACATTTTTTTCAGGATTCTTTGATATAGAAAGTTCAAAAGAACAGCATTTGAAATCTTTTCCTGCACTATAAATGTCTTTACTGTCACTTTTTTTACTAATTTAATGCATCCTATTTCAAATTGATTTGTTCATCTTTAAAATTTGGAACATCTTGTTCTCATGTTATTCTCCTTGAAATTCCTGCACAATGTCTTTTCTTGAAGCATTTTTTTTTTTGATTATACCTTTGTTTTAGGTCCATTTGAGCATTATGATGCAGTGACTCCATCTTTCTGTCCTCCATCTGCAGGTCTCACAGCCGCTGCTGCAGCCGCTGCGGCCGCCACCAACGCTGCTATTGCAGAGGCCATGAAGGTGAAGAAGATCAAACTGGAGGTGATGAGCAGCTACCATGGTAGCAACACCCAGCACGGGGCCGACTCAGAGAACGGAGACCTCAGCTCTAGTGTGGGTGAGTCACCATCCACCAGCACTGAATGCTGGCCCTGTTAACAGCCGTCTCGCAACCCGTCACAAGTGGTCAGGCAAGACACATGGCTGTTTACACTTGGGAGTAACATGCTTCTCAAATGTGTCTTCTGCGACTGCTTGTGATCAGATTTTGAGGGGAGGGTGCCTTATTTAATACTAAATATTAATAAAGTGAGGAAAAATAATACATTTTTGTTTGATTTAACCAATGATCAGACATGTCGTATATGTTCTGTAAAGTCTTGTGCATGCATATGTACAGTATGTGCTTTCCAGATTTTCAACTAGAATGATTTTTTTTTTTTTTTAGAGGCACATTTTGGCACGTTTTTGATTGGCACATGAGTTGGTGGGACTCATCAGGGCAGAATGCGATGTGTTTTCCATTTCCTCCACATATAGTTTGAGCATTCACAAAGTGTTTTGGACCCCATTTACACCTTTATTTAGTGCTGTTCACTCAGATGACCAGAAACTGACCAGAAGCACTCAAAGCTTTCAATGCCAGTTTGAACAGAGTTGTAAACTTAAAGGGATCATTTACCCAAAAATGAGTTGTTCCAATATTGAAGTCATTGGGGCCCATTAACTGTTTGGTTACCCATATTTTTCAAAAATTTTTCTTTTGTGTTCAGCAGAAGAAAGAAATTAGGGTGAGTAAATGATGACTGAATTTTCATCCCTTAAAGTTATAGTCATTATTTAGACAGTTTTATTATAGACATTATTATAGACAGTTATAGTTATACTGCCATTATTTACTGACCCTCATGTTGTTACAAACCTGAATGACTTTCTTTCTTCTTTGAAACACAAACTGTTTACATCCACACAATAAAAGTCAGTAGATCAAAGGTCCACATTTTTCAAAAATAAATGAAAATGTTTAGATGAAAAAGATTTTTTTTTTGTTCCCTAAAAGAAAGTCAGGTTTACAGTTTTAGAATGACAATTTTGTGTGAACTATGCCTTTAAGAACAAACTGCTGTTATCAAAGTAAACATTATTAATTCTATTTATCTATGCAAAATCCTTAAAATAGGTTTTTAGGCTCACTTAAATGCAGATCAAACGGCAAACCATACCAAATCTGTAAGAAAACTAGAAAGCTTTGTGTAATCTTGTTTTGAGCAGTCAGTTTGTTTGGTTGATTCCAAATTCATCATTAGCAGGTAATGCACTTTTAAAGTAGCTACACATCGAATGCATCCATGAGCACTTTATCCCAAAGCTAATAGCTATTAAGCGAGCTGCTAATTCAATTTGGTGAAGAAAATTAGTTTTGAATGTCCCCCGCTCCAATTAATCGTTTCTCAGATACATTCAGATTTTTTCCTCTCTCTCTCTCTCTCTTTGCAACATTACTTAAAGCCATTTTTTGTGGAAATTACACTGTTATATTAAACCACAAATCCATTACAAATGATTCAGTTACCATAATCCCAGAGCTGAACTGTGCGTGTGTAATTTCCATTGTGAATATCCATGCTGCGTCGAGGATTTCCCAGCTGCATTTGACACGAGGAGTTTTGGCAAAACACGGTGCGCTCTAAGCAGATTTATCGAAAGGAAGCCGCGCGGAGCTGAGGTCATCTAACTGCGAACGGCGGCGGGGGGCCGCGAGGTCACCGAAATAAAGATAAATGCGAATCGGAATAGGCGAGGCTGCGGCAATGGGGCTAATAAGAAACTGTTTTTATCTTTTTACAATTTAAATTGTAACCTTGAGCATGCAGACTCCCTGAAGAATAATAATTTCAGGCCCAGCGGTGAGCGAAGGAGCCAAACTAGAGAGGCATTAGAAGCCCTGAGTGAAATATATGGCTGAGACGCCTCTCCGGCCCATCCACAATCAATTGGATTCTTTTACTTTAATATTTACTCGCAGCGATGAGATGCTAGTCTGCATGGTGATGAACAGTCTACCTCTGGCGTTTGAAGGTGACCTGTCACCGCGTATGGACAAATCTCTCGCTCGCAGAAATGTAGAAAATAAATCATTAAAGGCAGGCGGGCCTCTCATTCCGGGATTTAAATCACTCCCAGATTTATGATTTAAATTAATGCTTCGTTTGGTCAAAAGAACGGAGGCCCGAGACAAATGATGTTTGGTACTGAAGCCATCCTAATATTGATTACTGGATGTCAGTGCAATCTCTTGTTTATATCGAGCACTCTCCTGTGACGGGGTGGCCAATAGGAGTCACCCGCATGATAAGAGGGCGAAATATAGCTTCTTCTATTCAGCCAGCCAGAGGGGAGAAACAAGCTCCTTTCAGCCTTTAATTGCAACATAAATTAGGTTTTTAAGTGAAATAGACAGTGTTTTCCATTCCCGTCTCCCAGCGAATTCCCTCACTGCTCCGGATCATTACTACATTAAAACCGAAAGGTCATTTCGCCAGAGAACCGAGAGACTGATATCGCATCGGGGTGTTTTAAAAGAGTGCCAGGGAAAACACACAACTGTGAAAATAAACTCTTAGCTGCGGTGCTCTGCTGACTTCTGCCTTTCTGAGCCTCGTGATTGGCTCTAATGGTTTTGGGCTGTGAATGCCTATTATGTCCTGCTTATAGGCGCGCTTTTTTTTTTTGCAGCTGGAGTCCAGAGTTTGAAATCATTTGACAGATATAGGGATGACTTCAGAGCAGAGGAACTCAGTTAAACACTCTGGACTGGGGTGAACAATGTCATGAGCAGGAAGTGCTATATTAAAACATCTTGCTATGATGTTTTATTTAGAGACACTTACTTACATGAAAGTGTAATTATTTTTCTAAATGTCACTAGGGGCAACACCACCAATAACAATAATCATCATCATACAAACTATTATTATTATTAAGGGTGTTTATGTGTGTGTGTTTTTATAGAATTTATGAGCACACCAATTTCAATAAGGACATGGGTATTTCACTGGTATATCACATAAACCTACTTTATTTCCTGAATCCTTGTAATTGAAATGGCTTAAAAAAAACATACAAAAAAATATAAAAATGCATAAAGTTTTCTTGGGTAATGGATGTAATATAAAGGGAATATAACATACAGTTTGTACAGTATATATAAAAAAACACATAACTCATATGGAATTTCCTAACAATCATAGTACCAACGTGTGTGTACCAATGTTTATTTGCTGTAGTATATTTGTAAGGGGGGAAAGTTTCCCAGCATTGCAATGGTGTTGTTGATGGTTGCTTGGTACTTTAAATATATACACACACTCTATTCCTCCAATGATATATATTCTAATTGAGATTCTCAGTTTAGAGCAGAATAGATTTAGTCTGAAGTAGAGACAGGCTGGTATTAAGTGTGTGAAGGACATTGTACTCTTCTTCGGACTTGTTGATGTTGATGCAAATTGGATGGGCTAATGTTTCTTCTGCATTAAATATTCAGCTCAATCACTCTCGCCGGCTTGCATCACTATTATTAATTACAAAAACAGAGAGAAAAACAGTCAGCCAGTTCAAATTGGAGCCAAATAGCCAAACAGCCTAAGCGAGAGAAGAGGTGGTGAACGTGATTAAGCTTAGCGCTCGCTTCCCTTTTGATTCTTCCCCAGCATTTTTTCAAGGAGGTGGGGGGTTCCCTTCTCTTACAATGTGGATTGTTCCATTGACTCACGGCACAGGAAACGGCACAATTCAAGATCACAAACCAAGCAAAACATGTGCCTGGAAGACAAGCAAACTGTGATCCATTCTAGGGCATTGAATAGACCTGAACCAAAACCAACACCTGCCCTTTTCAGCATGATGAATTGTTCGACTTTTTTTTTTCATTCATTTTTTATATCTTTCTTTCCCGTTTTGTGACTCATTTGCTGCCTTCAGGTTAAGAAATGGAAGGAGGTGAAAAGAATCCCTCTTTTGGTGGCCACTGGGTGCCATTTTGCATCTGATTCCTTGCCACGGCAACGTTAATGGACCTTAAATCCTCTCCGTAATTAGATGGGGGAATTGTGTGTATCACCAACCAGATGATGCTGCCATAATGAAATAAGCGACAAACTTTCAGGCATGTATGTGCGCACATGCTTGTGTGGGTTTCTCTGATTTAGCAAGTTAGCGTGCTCAGACCTGGCCCAGACCTCGCGTTTAGCATTTTGGGGGACGTGGGGGAGCGCAAACCTGTCACGTCAGGGCCGGTGACAGGTGTCTATGTTTGGGACAGAATTGAAAGTGATGGGGGGAGATGATGGGTGGGCTTCCCACCATCGATGAGGTCAGGCCGCTAATTCCGCCAGGCTTCTTCTGGCACTGGAGGCCAGCACTCAGGAGATGGATCTGTAGAGAGACCGCAGCTGTAAGCGTGGAGGAGCTAATTGGTCCTTATCTTGCTGTCCCATTCATCTTCATTTTTTACCAATTACCGAGCATTATCTGTGTTCTCGGTTGGATATGGGAGTTAATCCTTTTTGGTTAAGCTGCTAGTGCAGCTTGCAAATTTCCATTGGTGGAGCGGGTGAAAGAGTCAGAGCGAAAAAAAACAAACTCGGGAAACTTCTCATCATTGTACACGGGAAGGAATCGATTGGAAATGACATCACGGGAGGGAAAGGGAAAAAAAACAGTGGGGAGGAGGGGAATCAATTATTGGTGTTATAATTCAAGCTCTTGTTTGCAAACGTTGCAGTGCCATTGATTAAGTTGTTTTCATTGCACTTGCCATTATTGACTTGTTAAAACCATATTTTCTTCTCATCTGTGGTTTCACATGTGCAACCAATCAACCAGTGGTGTTTTAAATCTTGTAATAATTACTCAAAATGCATAAATTTGAGCGCAGAATTACCCTTTTCGGTGAAGAATCACTTCAAAGGGGAACGAACCGTCTCTGAAGCAGTCTTATTATGCACTTAACCATATGGATAAGCCTCCAAACACATTAATAACTGTGAGACTCGTGCCTCTTATTGTACTTGTTACACTGTCAAGAGCGATCTCGTCATAAATTCAATGCATCAC